TCCAAACCCTCTTCGAAATCAAAAACCTCCGCAGTCTCCTCGCCGCGAACGATCTCCCCACCAACACCCCACAGAACCAGAACTTCCCTGCTTCCTCTATCCTCAAAATCCCCTTCCCTTGCTCCTGCCGTAACGGCACCGGAATCTCCAACCGCCGCCCCAACTACATCGTCATTCCTAACGACACCCTATTCCATATCGCCGCCGAGGTATTCTCCAGAGTGGTGACGTTCACGCAAATCCAGCTTGTTAATAACATACCCAATCCGGATATGATATCGGTGGGTCAGAGGTTTTGGATCCCATTGCCGTGTAGCTGTGATGATGTGGAGGGCCAGGCGGTGGTGCACTATGGACATTTTGTGCAAGCGGGGAGTACGGTGAGTGGGATTGCAGAGCGGTTTAATACCACGGAGAGCACGTTGCATTGGGTAATGTGGTACATGGTGGTACCCAAATTGGTAATTGGGTAATGAGTATCACAGGGTGGCCGGAGAAGATGGATTGGGAAAGGAGGAGATGAGTGAAAATTCTGTGGTACATGGTGGTATYCCAATTGGTAATACATTGGGTAATGGGTATCGGCCGGAGAAGATGGATTGGGAAAGGAGGAGACGAGTGAAAATTCTGTGGTACATGGTAGTACCCCAATTGGTAATACATTGGGTAATGTGTATCACAGAGTGGCCGGAGAAGATGGATTGGGAAAGGAGGAGACAGTGAAAATTCTGTGGTATATGGTGGTACCCCAATTGGTAATACATTGGTACCTGCCGGATTAATGTTCACCGGAGGCCGGAGATCGGAGATAGGAGGTCGGAGAGAGGAGTTTTTAAAAAATACCTAAAATACCCTTTAAATTATAATTTTAACTCAAATTACCATAATTACTAATTTCCTTATTTATCCGTTGATTTGTGGTTAAGATGAGTTCTCACAGTTACCACAAACAACTCAGTTCTCCCTTGAATAGGCCCATATATATATATATATATATATATATATATATACTATATTATAAAACTATTTTTTATGCATAAAGTACTGTTTATTAATACATATTACTTAAAACTCAATATTGTAAGTAGATTGTACGCAAATACAACTTATTAAAGTTCCATATATGAATTCGTGTAACTAACTGCAGATAAACATAATCAAATACATGAT